TCTTTTCTACCCCATCATGCAATACACTTATATTGAAAGTCCTTTCTCCCCCTACCTTAAATTTTCTAGCAACAACAACAATTCAAACAACTCCTATGGATTCTCCCTTCAAAATCCTAGTTCTCCTTCCAAATGCTCTTGTTTATCTAGCCTCCTTGTTTTCACATATTAATAAAAAGTTCTCTAAAACCTAGTTTTCTTTAACTTTTAGAATATATAGTAACTCTAATTACTTTTGTCGGGTTATTATTATTGCCCAATTAACTTTCAGATTCTCCTCTTACGACACACTTATCTCAAATCACACAATTGACTCAATTTCTCCTATTTACCAATTTCTCAATTTAATTCTTATATTAATTAAAATACTAATTATTCTAATTATTTTCTAAATTATTCTACCAAGCTCCTACATTTTTTACCACACTCTACCATTACCACTACACCCTAATAACATATATAATCACCAATTTATTTAAAAGCACGCCAAATAACTAAATAAAATTTAAAATAATTAAATTAAATTAATTAATTGAATTTGGCGTGTTACATGGTTTTTTATTCGATTCTTCATCTTCACTCAGACATGGTCTTCCATCTTGTTAAGTGACCACAATCTTTTAATTGCAACACAACTTTCCTTGTCCTCCTTCTTGGAATTCAACCTTTTTTATTAGGGTTTTAATCATCTAAAATTTTTTCTTATTTTAACTAAGCAATTTTATTTTTATTTGTTTTGTTGTTTTCATTAATTGGAATTTTTGTTTCAAAATCTGAATTTTGTTTTTTGGGATTCGTTTTTAGTAGTTGTTGGAGGTTCTAAAATTGTTGTGTTGTAGGTTTTTTTTTTTGTTGTTAATTTTTAATATAACCTAGGATTTGTTGAGTTGAATTTTGTTAAATTTTTGAATTGTGAAAGGAATAATTTGTATCTTAATTTTTGTTATTATATGCACTGTAATTGTTTTTCGCTTTAAAAATTGTTGATTAAAATCAAAATCACTTTGAAAATCATATTTTGAAAATATTTTATCAAAAAGGACAAGTCATCTGCTTTGTTACCCCTAGTTATAAAAGAGGTGAATTTCACTCAGAGTCTAGTGTACTTTATCTCTAAAGCTTTAGTCGAATCCAAAACATGTTACCCAAATATATAAAAAGTATGATTGATCCTGTTACCGTCAGACAGATATCCATGGATTTTGAGATACCCGTGGGTATTTACAGATATCCATGGACCAAGGATGCCCTTTTTTAAAAAAAAATTATTTGCTAATTTTTCTTTTCTTAAATGATGTAAATAAAAATTATGTGTATAACTTTTGAAGAAGACGCAAGGCCAGAAGAAGATGTAGAAGAAAAACGTATGAAGCTAGAGTTTTAAGTGAGAAAAAAAATTATCGAGTTAAATTAAGTTGTTATTAGTGAAAAGAATTTATCAAATATAATATTTTTAAAAGATATTTCAGTAATTTTTTTTAATTATTAATGGGTACGGAAACTCGCTGGTACGAGTACCATTAAATATGTATTCGTGCCCGTAAAAAAATAGATAATTAAATATTCATTTATTTTACTTGTGGATACCCTTTATACTATCCAACTCTTGTTCATGACAAATTTTACCCAGAAATACTCACTGGTCTGTTTTTTTAATATCTCAAATAAGAGAATTTCTTCATTCACCATATATGTTACTTAGGCACTACGTGAAAAATACTTAAATGCCCCTAAATTTTAGAGATGCATCTCCGGGCGCACACAATTATCAGTTAGCGTTAAAATATTTTGGAGATACATCTTCGAAACTACTTCGAAGATGCATCTTCAGAATGTTTTGGAGCTTAAATCACACAAGAACCCTTCTCCTTCCTCATTTCTCATATTGCTCAAAACCTCTTCAAACCCTCTCAAATTGATTTTCAATACCAAGTCCAAAATCAAGCAACCATAGTCAATGGAACTTCAATCAACATCAAAAACATCATCCAACACTAAATCAAAGTGAAAAATTATAATTTTTTTTTGATGTTTTGAATAATTTTTGAGTTTTTATGTAAATGAGTAGAAATTGATGATTAAGGTAAAAAATAAGTAGAAATTGATGATTAAGGTAGGAAATGAGTAGAAATTGGATGATTAATAGTTTAAACATAGTATAAAAAATGATAGTTGGCTGAAAATGATGATCAATGCAATATTTTTTTGGTTTTCGTGTTTGCATTACCGCCATTGATGCAGCTACTAAGTTGCAGAAAATTCTGGAGATGCATATCCAGAATTTTTTAACGTTTTAGTTTCCTAATAACCAGAGATGCATTTACGGAATTTTCTCAATATTTTTTTTTTATTTTCTTGCTTGTGGTGTTGTTTTCTTGAACTAATTGTCTCCTTTACTTTAAATTATAGGCATATAAGTTGATAGACATTATAAACTGAGGCATAGGATGGTTGCGCAACACGCATCAGTGCGGCAGAAGAAGAGTCAACGGGTTTTTGAGGCTCTTGGTCCCTCTGCCCATGCATAGCCATCTACTTCTAGGGCTCATGCTTCTCCTCATGTTTCTCCATCTTCTTCTTTCCGTAGGAGAAAAGTTTCACCTACCGATACATCACTTTCTCTATCCTTCCACAAACGCTAGGTTTCCCCTATTCAGGCGCCTGAGGTACCCGAGTCACCATAAGCACCGAAGGCACCACTGCCACCTTCTAATGTTGATAATGTAAATGCTTTTGAGGCTTGTATGTTCCAAACTATAAATGCCACCTTCATCTTTGCAACACCATTATTGATAATTTGTGTGTTCCAAACTTTTCAGGCTTGGATCCTCCATCACTTTCTGCACATCTCCGCCTAGACGAGTGTACCGACTTGCATTGAAGATATGCTACGTGCTACTGCATTTTCTCCGCTTAGAGGGAGCCAGACGAATGAGTCGTTCAATGTGTATCTTAACCGTTTGATTGTCGAGAACATGCACGTCAACAACTATGTCAATCACCGTGAGACATAACCATTTGAGGAGATAGTTTTATACTCTGGATGGTTGGCTTGCGGATCACGTCTGACTGCTCATCATCTGCTCAAACGCGTCATGCAGCACTTCGACTACACTCAGACTGTTTCCTGACACCCTCTTGTCTCTGCTCTTCCTGCTTTGACACATAGATAGATGTATGACATGCTTGATGATTATGAGAGTCATTTGATATCGAATGAGGCACAACGTACCATAAATGTGAGTGATTGGAGCTACGTCAACAGGTATATCAAATGGTTCTTCAAGGTGTCACATTTGTACATGGTGCATGCTACTCTAGAAGATCCATTGAGGTCAGCTTAATAAGAGATACTAGAGGAGGAGCAGGCGCAAACAGATCATGCTAAGGATGTTTTGCCTAGATGTTGCCGCATAGTGGAGATTGCGCAGGCAGACATTGATAGAGGTATCTTCCCTAATGGGTCTGATGTGAGGCAGGTCCTAGATGCCACATTGATGTATCAGAGACAACACCGGAGAAAGAGGGGATTGATGGCCGAGGAGCCCAAGGAGACAAAGGAGGCATAGCAGATGTAGTCCGACATACACAGTAGTGCATTAGTATATAGTAGTAGTACTATGAATTGTATTTTATTTTGACATCATGCTACTTTATCGTTGTTATCAATTTTTTTTGACATTTATTGGTCTTTTATTTATATATGACACTTTAGAACCATCTGGATTTATGTACATTATTTTTTACATATCGATTGTATGGTTTAAATCTTGTCACATAGCATGGTACATAATGCTTATAAATCCTCATCTGAATACATGTAAACAAAACATAACATAAAATATTTTGTTTTGATAGGCTACAGAGACGTATCTCCAGAATATTAACATAGATGCATCTCTGGTACAATAAACTTGTATAATGACTTTTGAGTGTGATGTATAATATGCGTTTTAAACTATTACAGAAATTCATCTCCGAAATATTTTAACGCTCAATCAAAATTTAATGCGCCCGGATATACATTTCAAAAATTTGAAAATGTTTTAATAATTTATAAAATGCATTAAGAAATTCCCTAAAATAATCCAACACTAATATTCGACTTTTCCATAGTGACACTAATAGTTGATTAGAGAATTAAAAAAAAAATAGTGATAGCAGGGCGTTTAAATTACAAAATAAATCTTTTCCATTTTTGAAGAGAAGAATTAATAAAAATATTATAAAATTAAATTTGAATAGATTCCTTTATGATATAAAAATATCATTTTTATGTGAGAAAATTAAAATGAATCTGAATTATTAGATTTTAAAATAAAAGGCGGAGCTCTCCTCCATCGTTTATTTTAATAATGCAGGAGAGAGAAAAATAAAACCAAAAATAATCTCCACAATTTATTTTAAAATCTAATAATTTAAATTCATTCTCATTTTTTTCATAAAAATGAAATTCTCAAATTATACGTCTCGTTTATATATATTTATATATATATATATATATATATATATATATATATATATATATATATTAACTTTTTGTAAATTAGAAGTTTTAAAATATGAGAAAAAATAATTTTATACTGTATCCCGTCCAATTATATTTTAAAATTACTTTAATAATATAGTAAATTAATAAATTTGTATTAGATGACCATGTAAATTATTAATAATGTATGCGTTTTCAGTAACAATACTTGAAAGCCGAATTCCTGCACTCTTTAAGAACAGAAAGAAGCGAAAGTGTTAAATTAGCTTTATTTTTTGAATCATACATTCATATACTAGACAACTTTACATGTAACATACATACACAAGATAAGACACTGACTAACTTTCCATGGAAGAAGAATCACTGGGTTTTCCAAATCCTACAATGTACACTCCTTGTCACTAAAACAATATTCTAAACTTCTTCTTCTGTTCCCTTTTCTGTCATGATGAATGATAGATAACATTCTTCATACATTGAAACAACAAAACATTTCTGTATCTTCTTTTTATGATGCCGGAAAAAACCGACAAACTTCTCTATAAAGCTGTTCAGCTTCAAATGGTTTTGAAACATATCCATCCATTCCACACCTTAAGCATTCCTCATGTGTAGCTTGAATCACATCTGCAGTCATTGCTAATATCGGCACATGCCACTTTATAGACACTTCCATGTTCTCATTATGTTCCATCTCTCTGATTCTCTTCGTAGCTTCAAAACTGTCGAAAAATATTAGTATATGTTAGTACAAATTGTGATATTTTTGTGGCAACAAGTTAGAGTTTGGAAGAAAATTATTCATACCCGTCCATCTCTGGCATTTGAATATCCATGAAACAGGCGTCGAACTGATGAGGTGGCTTCAGCGAAGAAATAGCGTCTTTTCCACTGCTAACACAAACCACTTCTGCTCCATACTTTTTCAAAGCTCCGGCTGCTACTGCGCGGTTCACGCCGTTGTCGTCAACGATTAGAATTTTCCTCCCAAGAAGAAGATGGCTAAGAGACAAATTGTGAAGGTCTCTATTTAGAGTTCTCTTGTCCCTGACATTCATCGCCCGCTGTAGTGACGCGGCGAGCATGCTTGTTCTAAGAGGCTTTGTAATGATAGTAGGATTATAAATATCTGAGGTTACACTGCTAGTTTTAGAAGAGCTGCTAGTATTAGAATTAACAAGAATGAATAGCTTTGGAGGAAAACCGAGCTCGATTTTCCTGGTGCTACTGAGAAAATGAGATGACATGCTTGAATCTCTATACCAAACTTCTTGATCAATCAAGACCATGTTGGTAGCTGCATTCCCTTTGTTTATGGCTGACAAGCCTTGGTTCAAATCCGAAACCGTTTCAACGTGAATGCCGAGCCGTTGGATGTGATATCGAGATACTTTTGCTCTAATAGGCCTTGGATCAATGACCAACGCATTCATACCCTCGAATTCTGAAGATGCAGGTTGAGATTGGTTATTGATTCGCGATATTTTACTATCGTTAGAACTGGTTCGTCCATTGGTGAATACAGCGGTAAAAGTGAAAGTGGAACCGGTTTTTGGTTCACTTGCAAATCCAATTTCACCATTCATGAGGCCAACCAAACACTTGCTAATGCTTAGTCCAATACCAGTTCCTCCGTGTTTTCGGGAGATGGACGAGCCTGCTTGCATGAATGGAGTGAAGATGAGGGGTTGAGATTCTCTAGGAATACCATCACCTGTATCTTCAACAGATACAATCAAATTGATGAGATCAGTAGAGGTGGAAGAGAAAGAACCAAGTGGTCCCTCTTGACTGAAAGCCTTGAATCCTTTCCAACTCAAGCAACTATTCGCAACGGGGAAACCACTCAAAGTGTTTTCTGGATTCGATTCATTGTCAACCTCTATTGAATGAACAATCTCTTCGACAAGATGAATGGTCACAAAAATATGTCCTTTGTCGGTGAACTGCAATGAATACAGTTATAGAATCAGTTACATGTAAGCGCTTATGCAATAAGTGTTTGAATAAGTTGTTTATCCAAATAGAGTCTAAGTGACATGCATGACTAATAAACTCACCTTAATTGAGTTTCCCATTAGATTAGTAATGATTTGACGAAACCTTCCCGGGTCGCCTACTAGTAGTTTGGGAACATGATCTGAAACATAAGCTGCCAACTGCAATTTTCAAACAATCAAATCAAAAAAAGAAATGAGCTATAATTAGATAATATATGTTTCGAAATTTTCATTATGATCGAATCGAAGTGTGCAACTAAATAAGAGATACATTACCTCAACTCCTTTTCCTTGAGACTTATCAGAAAATAGTGACAACACATCGTCCAAAATCGAGCGTATGTCAAAAAGCACTGCCTCAAGCTCAAGCTTACCAAATTCAATCTTGGCCTGATCCAAAACCTCATTTATAAGTGACACCAGAGCTTTTCCACTTTCCTGCGCTGTTCTGACATATTCCTGTTGAGTTACATCTAAGTCTGTGTCCATAAGCATATGCATCATCCCTGAAAATACAATAGTATAGAACAAAGTTATGGCTTATTGAGCTCTTGAGTATCATAAACTGTATACGATATGATAGGCATTAGACAACTCACCTAAAACACCATTCATCGGTGTTCTGATTTCATGCGAGACAGTGGCAAGAAACTGCAGTTATAAAATTATAATTGATCAACTCCATGTGATGATTAGTGCAGGTTAAGCCAAACTATTAAGCAAATAAAAAAGATATATATAGAAACCTGGGATTTTGCTACATCGGCTGCTTCTGCGCGTTTTGTAAGCTCCATCATCTCTCGGCAATCTTCTTCTACCGTGGCAATTCGATTCACGGTGGCATGGAAGATATGTCCAACAAGGAGAGCAATAACAAGAATTCCAATTGAAGTAGTTATAGATACCCAAGGCCATGGTGGTTTCTGTTTGAACCTATATCATATAACAACATTATATGATATCACCTTGAATTTAATAGCACATATCTTCTACCTGTTTTCGTTCATTTCTTACAAACTATGCTGCATTATCATCACAAATACCTGCAATGCATCTCATGTTTCCTGAAAGGGTCTCCAAAGTTAAGAGTGCTGACATGATTGAACACATCCCCTGATACATTTGAGCCATACATGGCAATTGGATGTGTATGATTTGTAGTGTCATACACATTAACAATCACACTTTGCTTGCTAGCAAGTTGCTCAAGTAATTTCTCGACTAATGATTCAACATCAAATACCCCGCCAAGATACCTGTTTAGGAATAAAGCGATTTACGGCTCTGGTCTTATTTATAAGAAAGTTTACTTTTTAGATATATTGAATAACTAATGTATCTGGAAAATATATAGACCAGATACATTGTTTATTCAAAATACATGCAATACCCATTAGTTGCTTGAATCCTTTCATTTGGAGTTGCATTTGATGGAAGATATCTCTTGTAGACAGCAAATGTTAGAATAACACCTAGACGATTCGATTTGAGAAGCCGGAAGGGTGCAGTTAAAACCCCTTTGCCTGATTCTCTTGCGCGCAACACATTATCACGGTCTTCCTGTTGATTATTAACAAGTGTGAATATAACAAATATCTAATTCTTATAAGAAAGTTTTATCTTCGTCGAAACCTACCTTTCCAGAAAGCATGTCAACAGAAATGACATGAGAGATTGTATCTTGTGCAAATATGACAGGAGCATATTCTTCCTGAATAGGAGATGGCTCCAACGCTTCTGTATCATAATCATCCTTATGAACTGGATTCTGCTCCAGAGTGTCCATTCTCTTGATAATCCAACCTTGTTGCTTCTCAAATTGTTCCCTCTCATAATGAAGCACTCTTACCGCATATGCAACCCCGCTTGTTAGAGGCCTCTCAAATGCTGTTCTTTCTGTATAGCTAGCAAAAGTCCTCTGCATAATTTACAAGTTAGATTCATATATAAGCCATTAAGGTTATAATTGCAAGAGTATGAAACATGCACATACACCAGACACGACACTAACACGTCAACGCTAATAAAGTCTAAGAAAATGATTTGACAGTGACCATGTGTCTGACACCGAGCACGTCTTTTATCAGAAGATTACATGCCAGATATATTGAAAGTAGGTACCTGATCAATGGCTGAGGGACTCTTGGCATGATGAAAAGTTGAGATCAAAATAGACATAGCTTGAATATGGTTCATACTAACATTAAACTGATCCTGAACAATCCTAGCCCTTTCATCACACATACTTGCAAGAGTTTCTTTCCTCTTGACACTAGCTTGTAAACTCATAAAGCAAAAGATCCACAAAGACACCACAGTCCAACCCAACACCCATGTCAACAAAAGCTTCCTCCATAACTCTCTCTTCACTCTCTTTGACCCAATATACTGATAATACTGTGGATTGATTTTGTAACCATTCCCTGAAATCTTCTCCCACCATTTCAGCCACATCTTGTTATCCCTCACTCCACTGTTAATGAATACTTACAAGTTACAAAGCCTAAGCAAGTTAAAGTAAATAAACACCCTTATAAAAGAATGATAAGATTCTGAGTTTCTAATTCTAACAAGAAATTGATACTTGTCAGTAGCAGGTACCAAAAGGAGAGGCCAATAGTAAACCTAGAAAAGATTCGAATTTTATCATCATTCTACACAGAAACTCTAGCTTTCACTGCAGGGTCATATTCTATTATATACACCAAACAAGAACAACAGAAAAAACACGTGACTGTTCAATGTTTGACTCTTGTTCTTCTAAACTAAACACTGTAAAAAAGATAAACAGAATGAGTTCATGAAACTAAGATGAAAGAATTTGTCAAAGACAGAGATAGTAATAAATGTAATTAAATATATTATTTTATAACAAAACAATGATTGACATGAAATATTATATTATATTATTATATATATTTGCTGATGGTACAGTTAATAATGTGGAGAAGAAAAAGTTAAGGTTCCACTTAGGAGAAACTGAAACTTTTGTTTACTTTGTGTTCACAATTTCACATCCCTATCTATATGTCAAATTCAGTAGACAAGTTCTTCACGCATAGTTGTTACTTAGCTTAGTTATGTGCGTACGTACGTGTGTTTGTTTGTTTGTTTTGCTGTCTTTTTTATTGCCGAAAGTGCCCTTGCATGGAACCAAATTTTCAAGAATAAGCATCATCAACAGCCAGTCAAAAAAGAGTATGCAATGCATGATGAGAAATTCTCTACTCAAGGTGTTATTTTAAGACACAGAACTTTGATACCTAACTGTTTGATTAGTTTAATCTGCGTATTAAGTTTAATTGATCCAACACATTGGAAAAAAAGAGAGAATTTAGGTAATTGTCTTCACTTTATACTAATTGGAATTGGAACATGTTCTCTTTTCCATTAGTAATAACTTTCCAGCCAAGCAAATGGAAGGATATGTTACTATATATATGCTGTTAAATATATCAATATTAATTAGAGTTAATATAACAAATTAATGTTGATTAGTTATACTCTAAATCATTGTATTAGAGGTTTGATTCTATCAATTTTCTTTATACTCCCCAAAACTAATATTTTTATTATTTTATTTCTTTTAATTGAGTACTATTGCATCTTCTTGAAGAGATAATATCATCTTCATTTCATTTTTTATTTTAGTTTACATATGCATTTGAATTGTTTTTTTGTCATTTCGTTGTTTTATTGTCATCTTTGTGTGACATTGTCTTTTTCCTGTTTAGTTGTAGTTTTATTTAGTTCAAATTAACATATCACCTCGACCCACTAAATAAAATGAAAGTAATCCCCACCAATAGAACTTTAAAAATGCCTTGAAGAGACATAGCATCTAACTCTAGACACCAAAGTAATAAAAGTCAAAATAATCACAACCTATGTCGAACGTAAATTCAACAATAGAGACTATCATAGTACTAAATATCTATATTCATAACAAACACCTCTAACCTAGGAGTGAAATCCGGGGAGATATGTTTACCTCATAGGAGGCAACAAGAAGCAAAAGCTTGACAAAAAAAATCGATTGTGGGCGTAAATTGGTAAGGAGCTAAGGGGCAAGATTGTAATATGTGATGATGAAACGAGTGAAGGGACAAAGTAGTTGGGGGAGCCTCCAAATAAGGAAAGAAAATGCTATTTGAGTGGAAAGCAGTGGCAACAATGGGTGGCCCTTTAATCAAGAGGTGGCCACGTAGTGATTAGGACATCATGAAATTGATTGTTACATGATAAAATTTGAAGCAATTTTATTCTTTTAAAAGTTTTATGTTTGTGTTTAAATTGGCAAGTTATATAGTGGACAGGACCCTATTTGATAAGGACCAACTCTAAGGAAAGATTATGGAGCTTAAAAGTTAAGAGTAGAAGGGTAATTGGCTAGAGGGAATGAACTAGGAAGTTAAAGAAGTTAAAGAAGTTAAAGGCTTGATTGAAGTAACAAGCTGTCAATTTTCTTAACTTTAAGATCCATTATGAAGATAGGTCTATACCATTATTAATCTCCTTATTATAAGATTAGTTTAAAACTTATTTTTAGTTTTAGAATATGATAATCATATGCTTAATTAGGAATTAAATTTGTTTTGTAAGTGTGACTAAATACTTGCTAATTTCTATATGTATGTTATCTTATTAATTAAATGTACTTAGCCACCATGTTATTTTGTGTTAGATTTATGTTTTTTTAATATGATATTTGATCATTTATGATTTGGTTCAGATGAAGGGAGGGTAGGAGACAACGATTTTTAATAAAAAGAAAAGGGGAAAGAGAATGATTTTATAATAACTTGTGTTGGATTTAAGAAGAGAATGCAAAAAAGAATTTATAAAAAAGAAAATGTAAAATTATATTTTTAATAACTATAGTACATAAGATAATCTCCGATACGATATAGTTTCTTAACGCTCAAATTAGTTCAAGATTTAAGACGAGTATAGTAAAAAGTGGATATTAGAAAGTGTACCTTGTATTTTGTGTGAAATGACATTTATGCCTTAGGTTGTGTGGAGCGGATTTGCATTGATTTAGGATTTAGCAATTTTGACCTTTGACCGATCCAAAATGGTTTCTCCCAAGGCTTACCAGACGTTAAGAAATCGAGGAAACCTTTATTATATGTGGTCGGCCTAGAGGAAGTTGTTCGCCTCAAACTAGAAATGGGATCGTTTGGAGTCGGTTGAAAAAGTAATAGAGGACAAGCACGTTAAATTATTTCCTAATACTGAAACATTTTGCTCCTTGCTCCTTGCACGTAACCCTAGGTGTGCATGTCAGGAAATGATTCTCCTACTTAGGGTACTTGATTATTTTTTGCTCTTTGTTCTTCCTGATGGGATGGTTGATTCGCTACCTTTAGATCTTTCTCTTATTTTTTTTATATAGGTCGTTGATTATTAACTGACTTCTTTATAAAAGGCATGTCTTGCCTCAAATGGAATGTATTAGCACACTTTACATCCGTTTTACTCAATGTGAACCATTTAGTTAGATTTGTGATTTGAATCTTAGCTTATGTTGTTTGTTTTCTTCGAGTGATCAAAAATGAAAAGGAAAAAAAACGAGTCGCAAAAAGGTTTTTATTAGGGTGTTTGACGAGATTGCGGATCTCGCTCCTACGTATCCTCAAGTGCGATAAGGAATTCAAAGCAACACAGTTATTCATAGAAAACTACGTATTGATTGGTTGATTTTATTGAATAAATGTTTAGATCACGCTTGTCATACCCTAAATTTGCCCATACTTTTTTTGTTAATCAAAGGCATTGGTACAAACCATCAGAGGGTTGTCAAGAGATTTTGAGGTTTTTTATTGGTGTGAGCATGAGGTAGGAGCTTGTTGGATACCTGAGAGGTCATGGTGGAGTTGGAATGATCACCCAGTTCATCTGCACAACGCCCAGGCAAAAGGGGTGAAATTAGGGTTTTCAATTTTAATCAGGATAAATTGGTTTTTAAGGGCAAGACTTGTTTCCATTGCCTTCCATGTGTCCTAAGGTGTGTGAGGACGGGAGATTGACCATCAATTTTAATTAGAAGAGCTTCAATTGATCAGTCAATTGAAAGTCAGGAGATTTGCGGAAAAAGTCAACTGTAGTTTGACTTTTGGTTTAAATGGTGCTCCAATGGTGGGATCATGGTACATGAAGTTCATATGGCTTAGTGAAGTCTATTCAAGAAGTTTAGGCCTCAGAAGACCCGGAACATCGATAGTCGACTCGGTAGTCATCGATCGATCGTTTCGTTGACCAAAAAGTCAACTCTTCAACCATAAGGAATTTGACCTCAAAGTGTGAAGAAAAATATTCCTAATGCCATATTACACCAGCCCATGAAGTTTCATGACCATCGGATCAAGGATGGAGGAGTAATCGAAAAATCGGGAAATTAGGGTTTTGAAAGGGGCAAGACCATAACTCCCTAACCACACATCCAATTGTGTTGGTTCAAAGCTCATTGGAAAGATATTGACAAGTTCTACAAAAGTCCCACAGTGGTCCATGAGCAGAAAATGCATAGATTTGGAGTTATGGCCAAAGTCATTACAATAGGGAAAAATAACTTAGAAAAATTCTAAGTTATTGGACTTTTTAGGCATGTTTTTCAACAACTTTGAGTGGATTTATGACCTAGTTCCATTTAGAATTTAAAGATCATGAAAACATGAAAGTTGTATAGCTTCATGAGAGCTTTCCAAAATGTACTAGAACTCCTCCATAGCCCTTATGAGTTGAGAGTTATGAATTTAGCAAGTTGAGGTTTCAACACTTGAACGCAACATTTCCATTTTTTCACAAACTCACTTTTTGATCACTTGAACCATTCTCAGCCATTGGATCTTGTTTCTATCTGGTAATTAGAGATTATGATGAGTTGATATGCAGAAAATTGAAGGATTTGATGGATTTGGTAAGTAAGAGGCAAGTTGGCATTATTTTAATCAAAGAAATCAAGGAAATAGAAACTTTATGAAATCTTGCAGCTGCAGCCCTCCTACTCCCTAGCCATACTTCAGTCACTTCTTTGTCATCCTCACCACTTGATTTATGCATAAACTTGAGCCAAGAGCCTGAAGTTGCAGTTGTCCACAAGCTTGAACAAAATTGTATTTTATAAAATCCCTCCAAAATGCCAAAAGACCAATCTGCCCCAAGCTTTGCCTTGCCTATAAATAGAGGTTTCCTCTATGTTGATAGGTACACCAGAGCACTCTAAAACCCAAGATAAAACCTTTGCTCTCATCCTATCTTGAATTTTCTTACAAGTGAAGAAAACCATCCCAAAATACCTCAAAAATCTGCCTTGAGCAAAACAGCTTCCAAAACCCTTTTCACCCACTCAAAATCACCACAAACCATCCACACAATCCATAAATGATGTGTGGGAGGTGTTCAAACTCTTAAACCAGCCAAAAACCTCATTTTCCCAAAAGTCAACTTTC